CCTCACAGTTCAGTGCTAAAGTAGCACCGAAACATCTAAAGAAGAGTCATATCATTACAAGTGGCGAAGAGCCAACTAGCGAGAATACAAATTGGTTTAACAGAAGAGCAGAGAAGGAGCGAAAGCTAGGAAATCAGCTTCCCCATGGATAATGCAGCCAAGCTGGCTCTACACACCCTGCACATCACTGCAGTCCTTGCTGATGGAGAGCCTCGGGACACAGGGAGACTAGACATTGCAACTGGGAGGGGGGTCAGAAGAAACAGGGTGCCACGTATTTCCTGGGCTGCTCGGGCTCTGGGACCTCATATGCTGTGGGGTTGTAATTGGGGCTGAAAAGAGGACCGGGAGGCTCAGGAGGTGGAACCGAATCTGTCTTCTTCCTGCTGCCGAGCTTTATGCGTTCTCCTTGCTCTCTGTATCTAGCTGCGGGTTGCCCATCGCTGTGGTACCTGAGCTTGGGACAGGGAAACTCGGGGCTGGAAAATGAGAATTGCAGGGGAGGTGGGAGATGCAGGAGGAGAAACTAGGCTGCTTTGGTTCCCATTACGCTTCCTTCATTTTTCTTCTCCTTCTTCTCTATTACTTCTCAGGAACGCAATGTACTTTCCTCCCTGCTAGATCAGCAGTGATGCATATAGACTAGGTACAGTTAATTTATGGAGAGATTTCCTCGTATCACCCTTGACCAACCATTTTTTCTGTTGACGCTCACCGCCTTAATTGTATTGTATAACTCTTAATACTCTATTATTCTCTGCTTTTTCCTGGCCCCACAATTAAAATGTTTTATACCGGCGTACTTGAGAGCTTGTGGGTTGGACTGTGCAATCGAAGCATTTCTGGAAGGAAATCAGCCTAAGATTAAGCCATTAAAAAAAAAAAAGCAAGTTTGAAAGGGTCACTCCATTAAAAAAAATGCTACTATTCAAAAGCATTTTCATTTTCAGTGGAAAAAAAAGCAGATGATATAAAGGGTTTAAGGGACTTGGCACATACGTATATTAAATCCCAACCCCCTGCACCTCTACCCATGGGGTCGTTCTCCACTGCAAATCTTTCTCAGGGCTCTGACCCACCATCGGTTGCAACTGGAGAAACTTGGCGGATTCATCCTTTGGAGGCATGTACCCGTAGTAAAGAAGCCAGCGGTCACGGCAAACCATCACGACGGCTCTGCCTTTACCCAGCTCCTGGCTGCCATCTCGGGAGGTGCAATCAGCAGAAAATAGGAATGTCCTCCCAGTTCTCGATGAACGGAGGTGGTTGCAAGTGGGTGCAAATCAGAGCGGCCTTTTGGTTGCTCTACGCAATGCCCGAGAATGGGTCCAGTGCATGCTGGCCTAGGATTAGTGAAGGATTAAACCACTTTAATCATGCCTGATGTGCCCAAGCGCTCTTCAGGCACAGCGCACAATGTCTGCCTTGCTGATTGCAGTCATATTTACAAAATCCTAGAGTCATTTCTGTTCTTTCCTGCGGTGATTCAGATATATTTTTGCATGATTTCCCTTTGCTCTGTCCAACTTTGGCACCCAGGGGAGTGTCACAAGACCCTGCAGTCCCATCCTACCCCCTCCTCTATGCCTCCAGACCTAACCTGGTAGCCCTTCAAACCAAACCATGGGCAAAGTCCCCCAAGTGAAGCATGAAAGGTTTCACATTGCCTGGCTCTCTGGAGCCACTGACACCAATGCAAGTGCTGATAAAACAGAGTGCAGGTGCTTTTCCGTGCCCTTTGCACCAATGCAAATGACTGCACAATGTGCTGGACAGGAGAAAATCAGGTTGTCAGGGTTACAGTCCAGTGAATGGAAATTATTAAAAGAAGAGTTATGCATTAGCGAGAGAGAGAAAGAGAGGCCTCTGGTTGCATACGCGGTGACACCAGAGTGACCAAGAGCAGCTGTTTAAGCTTCAGTTTGCTTGATAGAAGATGGCTTTATTCCACACGCCGCATCGTTGGGGCTCCACAATTGGCAAATGGAGCACGTATAATCATCGTGCCCAGTATCACCCTCATCGCTGCATCGGCTTCCAAAGACTGGGTTTGGCTCTGCCCGTGTGAGGACTGCAGAGGAAAGGGGCACAGTCTCTGAGCTGTGCGATTGCCCCTGTGTGCACGAAGGAGTGTGCAAGAGAGATGGTGAGTGAGCATGCACATGAGCTGGTGTGCACAGGAGAGGCCCCCGCAGTGACTGACGGATCCCGGGTGCGTGCGAGAGAAGACCGGAGCGGTGCAGGCCTGCAGCAGGTGTGTGAACAGAAGAGCGTGTATGTGCGGGAGAGGGGGTGCCTGCACGTATCGGTGAGAAGGTGTGCGTGGGAGCGCGCGCGCGATGCAAGACAGCAGGAGCAACAGCCGGCATCAGAAGAAGTGGGAACTGGAGATGAGCACTGAGACGGTCTCCAGATTCCCAGGGGAGGAATAACACCTTAGATTGGAAAGCAAACACCAGGCTTGGAGAGCAGAGAAGGTTAAATACTAGAGCAGCGAAGTGGGTGAGACAGAGACGGACTCCATTCTGCAACGGAGCTGGACGAAAGCTACACGTGGAGGGCACCCCTGGCAGAGCAACAGGGCGTCTGCCTAAGGTGTGCGGGGCCAAACCCAGCATTGTGCTTGGGTCCGAGGGAGAGAGCTTTTCCAGGCGCACACATCTGCCATTGTGAGAAAAGAGATGCAGAAAATTACTGGTAAAGGCCATTGATTTTGGCATAAATGCTCTCTCTCTTTCACATGTTGTCTCAGCTTGAAAGCCCTTCTCTAAAATGTTTCTCCCCCCCCTTTCCCCCCTTTCCTAAATCTGTCTCGAGCATTATGCCCTTTTGTGCTTAATGGCATCAATAATGGGTCAAAAATAAACAGTCCAATTCTCTGCGTTGCTGCTTTTCCTCCGTTTCAGTCGATGGCCAGGGCCGCAGCTCTCTCTGCATCTCACTTGCTCTCCTGTAGCTTAGCCTTTTAGCTGTACAGCCCCGCTCCATCCGAAGTTTTTGTGCCAATATAGATCTGAAAAGCGACACGGAAGAGACTTGACTAGCCAGGGGCTCATCCTGGGAAGCTGGGTTGCTCAGTTGGTTAGCACCTGGGGCTCAGCTGAACTTTTGGAAGTGTTTTAGGCGTGTTATAGGGATTGCAATAGCACGCAAGAAGCCCAGGTGCTCGGTGCTGTATATATACACTCGAGATGCTCCTTCTTCCAAGGAGTTGAATGCCCTAAGAGAGGAGCAGGCTGCTATCCTGAGTTTAAAGATGGGGAATGGGCGCCAAGAGGTGAAGGATGCTAACTTATTTGGGTGGCGTGGTCTTCAGGGCTCAGACTGTGTCACCTGCACAGCAAATGTGTCACGTGGGCAGGGAGCACAGGTGGCGATGGCAGTGAAGACACAGGGTTATACCCATATGGCTCCCATGATACTCTTACTGTCCCAGTCCCTCACACCTTCCAGCCGGTGCTCTTCAGACCTCGGCCCTCTGTGTTGGAGGATAGTGGTGGGGCTGGAGGGGTGCCCTGGAGCAACTTCAGTGCCAGGTCCGGTGGGTTGAGAGCACCCTGGGCACAGCGTGGGCACACTCATGGTGATGCAGCCTTCAGTAGGCTTCATGAGCCCCTCTTGGGGATCCTAGATGGGTATGCATCTGGTTATCAAACCCCAGCTGAAGTCCACATTGCTGCATTTTTCTTCCTGCTATTGCTACCTGCTTAGATTGAACCTCGCCAGGATATGCCAGTCTGTGCCACAATCGCACCTTGCTTTGCCGTGTAGCCAGCCTACATCTCTGTCTAGATTTGTGCGCACTACAGGGCCTCTGCCTCGCTAGCTGTACCAGCAGAACAAAGTCAGCAGAGCCCCACGGCGAAGACACGGCAGAGAGACGGCCTTGCAGGCACGGGGGGTGCGATCTAATCCCACGGTTCAACCTGCAAAACTTTGGAGCGGTACATCTAGCCTGGCACACCTCGCCTTGGGCTCTGGGGTCTCTTGGTGCTACTGTAATAGAAATCAGCATGTACAAATAGAGCATATTTGAGTCACCGGAGAGAGCAGATGTGACGCTGAACGCTGCCGGGGAGCACATCTGTTGAGTAGGAAGGTGCAGATTTTGGGATATTATTCACCCTTTCCGAGCAGCTTTTTGGTTCGTTTCAGCAAAAGGGCTCTGCTCCTATGCGAGCCATTGTATTAAGAAGATGCCTGGCCACCCCTAGATTAATAAATATTTATGCAGCGTGGAAGATTCATGACAGAAATAAATAGTGGTATTTTCCTCACTTAGGACAGAAATGTTTCTGAAAGGGAATTAAATGGGTGATTTATGCGATGGGAGAGGCTGTAATTGGATTCATAATAAACAGGTGTTTACATCCTTATCAACCCGGCAATGATGTCATGACAAGGAACGGGGAACAGAGCAACGCAGAACCACGGGAATAATATAGCCCCGACTGAATGCTCCGGCATTGTAATTCTATCAAAGGGTCGTAGCAACATCATAAACCTCCGGAGGGATGCTCGGCTCACCAAAAGCCAGGACAGAATTGCACTCTTAATTTATGTGCAATTTGGAACGTGCGTGGCAACGTCTAGTACTAAGCAGTTAATGACCTTCCCCCGCTCGCCCGGCCCTCTCCTTGCCTCTCTGCCTCTGTCTTTTGTCTTCCTCTCCTCTTCCCATTTTTCTGTTCCCTTGCTACTATTTCTAGGCATTTGTGTTTGAATGATAAACTTGTTCCCTATGCACTGCGGCGGAGTCATAAATACTTCTGTTTGTGACACTGCAGTTGGCTGCCTGCCGGCGAGCAAATGCGATGTCAAAAATCAAGTCTTATGAATTCATCATACGACGGTCTCTGCCTGTCTGTGTCTGTGCCCCATCTGCTTCTTCCCATAGTTCCCCATGTCTGTCTGTCCATCCCTCTCCGCAGATTTTTAACTCTCTCTCACTCTCCCTTTCTGTCTTTCTGTCTCCCATGTCCCATATCATGGGGATACAGTGGTCACATCTGCCTTTGGGAAGAGGTGCCCGGCTCTGAAGGTTCACCCAGCCCAAACACAAGTCACTTCGATAACACCAGGGTGGTGAGAAGGAGCAATGAAACACAGGTATAAATCCACGTTGATGCTAGAAACCTCCCCCAGCCAAGAGACCAAGAAACCTCACCTCCACCAAGGAGAAGAAAATCATGTCAGCCCCTCATAAGAGAGCTGTCGGTGCATGATTTGCAGAACTGGAAAGCCAACGCCAAGACTGAGTTATTCCCCTTTTGTGTGCTGCTTCATACATACCACATTATGATCCTGATATGTTCAATCTATTGTACTGCACAGTGATTATTTCTGCTCATCCAGGAACTTTCCAATTATATGAACTAGTAGTAATTATTTGGTAATTACATTTCATAACTATATTGCAATCAAACTAATTTCACTTCAATTACAGTGCCCTTATTATGAAGTGTGATCCAATAATCTGGTCTCTGTCCATATAATAGTTCTTTGGTATCTCTGTATTAATGATCTGTACGTTAAAATCTTTAAACCGAGAACCGATAGGACTTACCCCTCTCTTTGCCTAAAATACCTGCGAGGCTTGATCCTGCGCTCAATCAAGTCGGTGCCAAAGCCCTTTAATGGAGCCAAAGCTGGTATGAGATGAGGCTGTACGGGCAAACAAATGCAGTTCTCTGAGAGCTCGAAATATAGTCTTCTGAAACAGGCAATGAGCCCTACAGGACTCTTCCAGCCCCTCATTTCTCAGTCCAAAGCTAGGCGGAGAGGACTCTACCTACCGATAATGTTTTCTAGGCCACCCAGTGGGTATGAATGAGAAGGAGGGTAGAGGGGAGCTCTCCGTAGGGTTCATGAAGGCTGGGATTATAGAAGTGTAGAAGAACCGCTTTCACTAATCTGATTAGAAGGGGAAGAAACAAACAGTCCCGTTGGACATGCTGTTAATGCAATAAATGGGTTAGCAGAAGCTCTGTGGAATTACCCGAGCCCTAGGATATTAATTAGAAATCATTCCGTCCGGACGGAGCAATCCTCCTCTCTGGATGAAGGATGCAGGCGTTGTCTCTCCAAAAATGCATGCTGAGCGTGTCCGCACGTGCATTTATGCTGGCGTAAATTTATTGCACAGTAAGTTACTGCGCAGTAAGCGGGAATAGGCCGGCGTCTACACGTGCAGGCATTGAAGCTCATTCATGCTGTATGTGGACTGACTTGGGACGAAAGTTAGTTCCAGGTCAGTTCATACACGCAATGTTACTGCGCAGTAAGGCATCTACACGTGCGTTTTCTGCCCAGTAAGTCATCGGGCATGAATTTGATACTTGCATGATGCAGGTATCAAATTTATGCTCAAGTTGGCGTAAGTCACCGTATTTACTGCATGCATGGGTAGATGTGCACCCATACTGCGCAGTAATTTAGGTTACTGAGCAGTAAATGTGCATGTGTAGACATGCCCACTGGGTCCATTTAATCAGCTATCCTGCCTCCATCCAGGCAGGGGGTTTCCCTAAAGGAGCATGAGCCCTTTTTTGTGTGCACCCAGGTGTGCAATGCTGGTCCACTGGAGTAGGAACTTCTCTCCCTGCCCCCCTGGGAGCAAGGGTGGTCGGTTAGGGGTTCACTTTGGGGCTCAGGAGCTGCGGGTTCAGTTCCCTCTTGTACCGATGACGGGTTGGGGGAGGCACCTGGTGTATCTGCCCTTCGATTCCTAATGGGTAAAGAGCCAAAAACAGGAGGAGATGGGCCGTGAACTTTCAGACAAAATGTTCTACTTTGGGAGCTGAGAAATCGAAATTCGTTCAGCTCCGCTTCCCCTGGCTCGCCGGCTGCCCTTTTATCGCACAGGACGTTCCCAAAGGGAGGATGCTAGTGTCATCTTCTCTGCACTTCCCCGTGCCCTGATGTAGTCTCATTCCCCTGACCTTGATGCCGTCTGCCTGGGTGGAGGGATGCCTGGCTATCTTCTTTGCTGCATTTGGCAGGGTTTGTCCCCACCAAAGCAACGTTTCCATGCGCCTTCAAAAGTCTGCGCTCCTTTTCGGGGCTCCCCACTGCTTTCTGGGAGAGGACCGTCTCCAACGTACCGTCACCTCGGCAAGGGGCTGTCACTGAGCGCTTCGTGCCCGTCGGTCCTGGCATTCAGGGAGGCTGTTTTGTGCTTCGTCACCGTGAGCCTGTTGACTTGAAACTTGGGAGTGCAAAATGTCAGTGGTTTCGAGAAACTTCTTTCAAATGCTTTTTTTTTTTTTTTTCTTCAAAGTTCCCTGTGATTTTTTTTTTTTTTTCAGTGATCAACACCAAAAATTACGGTTTTTGAAAAAAATGATTTTGAGAAAAAAATGAGCAGCCCTTGAAAACTGAAAAAAGAAACAATTAGACAGAAAAAAAAATTGAACTGAAAAATGACTATTGTGTCAGCATCGGTTTCTGCTTTTTTGCCCCCCCCCAATAAAAACAGGAAAAATGAAATCAAAGTGACAGTTTCCCATGATCTATGCCAAAGCGATGAGATTTTAAGAATCTGTAGTTTGGGGGGTTCTTTTTATTGACTTTCTGACTTCTTTTTTTTTTTTTTGAGTTTTTTGCAGAGGGAGTGTCAGATTTTTAAGCTTTTTCTGAGCAAAAACGAGGAGCAGAAGTGCACCTTTCCAAGCTGTAAAAGCAACAGTGCGTGATAAAATAAATACCCTGGAGGATTCCCATTTCTGTGAAAAATATAACTGGGGCTGAAAACCTATTCTTCATTAGAAAAAAACCCAAAGTGTCAAAACTTAGTTTGACCAATTCCTCTCTCTTTCCTTTGATCTGGCTGAATGCAACCCACTTAGACATGGCCTAGCCAACTGAGTCCTGGGTCCTTTCCCTGGTCTGGGCTGTTTCTGAGCCTGCCTTGCTGGTGCAGGTTGAGATGAGAACGCCCCAACTCCTCCCATCCGTGGATTCCCAGATGTGCCAGTATAACGACTACAAACCCTCCAAGCAGAAGCATTCGCTGGCTACAAAGCACACCGCAGGCATGGCTGGGCTTTCCTTACCCCCTCCAGGGTCCCCACGGACTTGGAGTCTCTGTCAAAGAGCGTATGATGGGATAAGTGGCCCCGCAGCCCCAGGGCCCTTCGAGACCTGTCCCATAAAGCAAACCGTGCCTCCTTGACTTGGATGCCCTCCTCCCTCGGCCCCCCTGGGAGCAGCCCTCTCCGCTCCGCACGGCCCATCTCCAGGCTGCAGCCAGCGCAGCCGGCTATTTATGCCGTCACGTCGTGGCGAGCACTGACAAAAAGGACAAATTTTCCCATCTGGGAGATGACACTGATTTTGCTGGAGCCGCCGGCAGCCCAGGTGATTTACAGGAGTCATAAAAAGTGGTTAGTGGGCTACACGGCTTGTTCCTGGAAACAGGGCAGATTGCTGCAGGGAGGGAGAAGGAGAGTAAGGGGTAGAGTCGGGTGCAGGGAAGGAGGGCGAGAAGGAGGGTGGGAAGGGGGTGCTAGGAG